GTACCTAATACAGTATGCACCTTACGGATTTCAACGAGAAAATTAGGGTGTTGGATATGTGGAAGTGAAAATAGAGAAAAATGTGTGCGCTGTAAGGGCACAGATATGCCCAGAACAGAGTTCGAAGTAAATCATATTCTGAATTACAATTACAATATTATATATCGATGGATTTTCGTCGATAACTGACTGAAAGTAAATCGACATTATGTACTTTAATTAATTAGAATCGTCTTCACAACAATACAAATGGGATGTCAAACTCGCGGTATCACGTCGAACTTTTTTCGTATATTTTCTGTTGGGACGTTTATATACAATTTATTAGGTTCGCGATGACTTCTGCTATCACACTCAGGTACAAATGCAATAAGTTTTCTTTCTCTGAATCGATTGTAAGCAATGCTACGGCTGAGCGCCAACGCGCGTAGTGACGTCACTGCAACGTGGCGGTCATTCGAAACTTTTCAAACGCCGTTCATTTTAAAATCGTGTTTGCTAATCACAACGATTTCTCTTGACAAAAAAATGAGTACCACTAATTTTTTTAATGTGCTTGTAGTTCATTTTCAAGGTTTTTGAAAAAACGCGGAAAACCCCATTTTCAAGAATGAAGTAAAAAAGGAAATTATCTCAAATGACATCAATCATTTAAATAGCGGTTTTCGCAAAAACTGTGTTGCGTAAGAGCTATCTGATAAACTGACAACTTAAATTAGGAGTTCGTTGCCTCATACTTCTTAGCAATGGTAAAATCCCCCACGTTTTTGAACGGGGAACCACTGTCATGGCGATCTCTACATATAAATATCCAACCACTAGGCCAGTCGCTGCAGTACCTCACCTCACCCTCGCTAGTAAAAATGGCCAACAACCTTTTTTCGGTCTAGGACTGTTCAGCGCCGCCGTTTCATCGCCGTCGTTTCAGCGCCGCCGTTTCTTCGTCGAGCGGTTTCAGCGCTGCCGTTTCTTCGCCGAACCGTTTTGTTTCTTTTCCGTTTCTTGTATCAAAATAAAACAAATGATCGTGTACGTTTCTTATTGAACCGTGAAGACAAAACGAAATAGCAATAAAATGGTTTTTATCGCAGTAAGTGTTCAAAATGTTCGCAATTAACTGCAAGGCTGTGACCTAATCCGTCACGAAAAGTTAAACAAGATTTTTATTTCTTGTATAAGGGTGCTAGCATGTTAAGTCACTGAAAAGAGAAAAAAAATCTCTATCAAATGAGCCCAATGAAAGAGTACTATTTAAAAAAAATAAATTGTTTTTCATTACTCATTTGTTTTTGAAATAAAAACAACTGAATGCTTATTAACAACTACAACGAAATCTCTATAACTACAACCTAGGAAATTAAGGGTACCCCTATAGCAGAGCGCTCAATAAAAAACAACGCAAAAATATTTTAACAAAAACAGTAACAATCTTTTTGCTGTATAATCCAATTTACACATAAAAGTTAATTCTACATTCCCATCATAGGGTATCCCAAGGTCGTTTCCCCAGGATTTCCCATGGTCATTGCCTCGGGATTTCCTAAGGTCATTAAGGTCATTGCTCCGGTTCTCCCAAGGTTATGGCCTTAAATTCTGGATCAAAGTCGTGGGTCTGAGTTTTGAGGCAAACCAACACTCAAAGCCATGGCCAAAGTTCGAAGCCACGACCTAGGGAAATCCCATGATTTTCGGAACAATGATCTTGGGAAAATCCTAAAACCATAGAACGTCACGTGACCTTGTACGTTAGTCCTGATCATACATCCTTTGTGAAACGGGCCTTCATTAAATCTCAAATTTAAATATTGATGTTAGCCTACTATAACTATAGTTTTAGTACTAGTAGGGTCTGTGTTAGCATATGAAACACCCGAAGGTCCGTTTCACTCAGGACCGATGATCAGGACTGATGATCCATCCCATCAATTGTTTTAAATTATACCGTTCACATATTCGCGGACCGATAAAATAGTACGAGCATCGGTTCTGCCCGTGGCGTGTTCATCGGCCATTTAAAAAACGAAGATTTCGATATAGTATTGTCACTTCTCAAATGCATGCTGACGACTAATATAATAACCTTTTTTTAAAACAATTGAATTCGACTGGTGATCGGTCGACAGACTGCATGCGGAAAAGTCTCTTGAAAAATTGGATTTAACCTGACCGTAACTTGGTGATCGAAAATTTTGTGTTTCTTTAACATTAATAAAAACTGGTTGAATAATTTTTCATAATTTACACTAAATCAATTCCCAATTTCTCTTTATTCCTGTAACGAATCGTGTAGGTAGGTGGGGCACTTTCTCCCCTTTGATGAAGCGAATTTCCAAGTTACGAAAGTAAGAGGTGACATTATTTTGTGGTGCAATCTCGTGCCCTAGGATTTTCTAGGCTAAGAAATTCTTGACCTTGGTGAAGGGAATTGGTGGAGTATTTTTCGTCTAGTAGATTAAAACTGCAGTAACTACTTTCGTGCGTAGTTTCAGATGCTAGTGAGTTAGGGACGTCTCAAAAACATAATGTTATTATTTTACGCCTCGGAATCGTAAAAATACGTGAAAGAATTTTTGAAAAAAATGACAGAAGGTTTGGAATTCAGTCCTACCATATCCTCACTAGCATCTAGAAAGGCACCTGTCGCTATCAGTCGTACGCCTTTTATGTCTGACAAATCAGAGTCAGAATCGCCAGATATATTCAAAATCTCTAGGTTTTTTCAATAAGTATTCTCCATATTTTCAAGTTTTTGTATTGTACTTCCGCATTATATTTATATATGTATACAAAGGTGTTTCGAAATTCGCGCACACGGACTGTGGGATGGTGTTATACAACGAAAACTGAATAAAAAGTTCCTCTACCTGTTATTGATCAGACCGGCACTTTTTTTTCTACGTGCTGAAGCTTGTTTACTAGCAGACGGCGGACATTTTGAACAACTGTTGTAATTACGTACTCGTCATAATTATAGTTTATTTTGAACCTTCATTTGTTTTTAAAAATGTATTATTATTAAGTTTAACCAGTGGCCCGTATGGGGGGGGGGGGGGGAATTGGATTGTTGTTTTAAACAATATAAAACAATATATAAATAATATATTGGTTGTTTAGTAAATAAACATGAAACAAAGCGAACGATAACACGACCATCAGGATTGGCATAAAGCAAATATTGGCGAAGATTATTGATGGAATAATGAATGACAGTACAAATATAAATGTATACGAACTAAATAAATAGAACAAACAACTAGTTTTATATATGGTCATACGCCATTTATTCAAAATCAGTAAAATGTCCTGGTTTGTTGATTCTGCGACATTATGTATATATTTAAGCTATATCAATGATAGTAAACTACGCCGTCCTCAACCCCGCTTTCCTTTCGCTATCGCAATAGCAACCCCCGCGTCGAAAACCTTCTTCCCAGCTTTTTCCTAGAAAACACAACGTTACACTAATGCCAATTCGTTTTAGTAAATACTTACAAGTCTCCTCCATCCTTTCCATTTTCCTTCCGTCTGTGCAAAAAGGCTGGCGATAATCAGTACCAGAAATACGAACAGTTTTGATACATTCATGTTTACAAATTACTGCAGCTGGACAACGCTTGGTTGCCCTTATATATCAGATATGAGCGTCTCGAGAGAGAAGATAATTACAGATATCTTAGAACACTTAATATTTTCGATATCGATAAGGTGGGGAATTTCTAAAAAATACCTGCAGGTTACATTCAACTTTCAAGAGTAATACAAATATATGACTGGATTGTGCTTCGATAATGTTCTAGAAACTGCCCCTCTCTTAACACTGTTGTGTCTCGCAAGAACGACGACAGTTGTATCGGAGATACAGTCCTAGGTGATTATCGTTCTATCATACTATTTCGATGGCTATTTTCGAAGAAGGAGCAATTAACTGTCCTACCATACAGTTGCGGGGATTGAAACAACTTCCATATTTCCACCCCGGTTCCTTAAACTACCAGCATATTGCACGCGATCCGCCAGTTTAACTGATCAATATCACAACCGATCTTTGGCACTTGTTGTTTTAGTGCCAACAAATCTCGTAACTGGACTTATCACAGGAGGGGTCATTTTGCTAATATAGAAATCGTGTAGGAAACACACCTTTCCACCCTTGCTCGGGATATTAAAGGTAGATTTCTTTTAAATGATCAAACTGGAATTAGAACAAGTAAGAATATGGTATAACTCAATTCCAAATGGTAAAGACGAATCAACTTAGGGTTACTTAACCTACCGCAAAAGGCGAGTGGAAAAAGTTCCATTTGGAACGGGGCAAATTTCCGGGAGAATTAAAAATATTATTCTTTTTATCTTTATCTAGTTGAAATTCATGACACATCGTATTGCTACCTACAATCAGAAAAAAAAAGCAAATTGCTTAGTCATCTGTTTTTGGAGATAATCATGCGATCAATTAATCCGGTGAATAGATTGTGTGTGGAATTCTACAGTGCTATTCAATAAAAAGTACACATAAGTAGGGTTTATGTGTATTGTTTTTCCCTATGTCTACGACCGGCCGATCCAAGACGACAAGCATAAGAGAACCTGCATCTCTTCGGACGAAGCCCCAGCGCCGGCATGACGACAGAACAAGATTCCGCGAATCATCTCGAAACAGACAGAAATATTCACCATCTTTGCGGATTCGCCTCCACAACAGCCCTTGAGCTCACCCGGAGGGGGGCTCTATAACTTCAAGTTCACAAAACGTCCTTTGATTCTTGATTGAAATGTGAGCTTTTTCTTAGGGAGTTTTGAAATAGCTATTTAGTTTATACTACAACCCAGCTGGTTCTTTTGTTTATATTCTGTTTGTTCATCCTAAAAAGTTCAGCGGAGAAGTTTAGTTTACGGTAGATGGTTCAGCTTTCATACATTTCTGTTGTATTGCTTGTGATTCTGCTTTGGAGCGCCTGCAACATTTAAAGGAAATGGGGATGTAAAGAAAACAACGCCCAGAAAATTTTACTTCTTCATTTATAGTTATAAGTTGTAATAAATTTACCATCAAACTTTAGGCCTTAATCAAATAAAAAATATGACATTAATTAATCGAAGCTGTCTATACAATATAAAGTGAACTATTTAATATTAGCACATCAGTACATGTTAAATGTGAATAAGAGAGAAATACATTTAAATATTTTTTCAAATTTTTGCGTGATATACATATACTAGTCAAACAGCATAGAAGATAATTGTTAACCAACCTTGTTTTTTATATCTATTATACCTCCAGCAATTGGCAAAGTTTTCTGAGCCGTATCTCTAATCTTCTTTATAGCCTTTTCCTAAATGAATATAATTAAAATCGTTCTAAATATTCCATGTACATACAATTTTCTTCCAGCCCTTCCATCTGCCTTCGGCTGGCTCAAAAACCACAACGGAACAAACTAACAGCAGCACGAATATCAAGGAAATCTTCATCGCTGTACTTCAACGTTTCAGTTATATCACTAAGGTAAGTTAGTACAAATTTGCCCAACGCAGCGGATTTAATTCACTTGCAGATTTTACTTCAAGAATTTCCTCTAATCAGTGCGTGGTACTATTTATACTGCACCATGCAATGCCCCACAGTATATCACGAAATGATAGTACTTGCCTAAGGTAAACGGAATTTCCCACATTTTCACATACTATCAGTTTAGAACTAGAAACCTAGAAATCCTAATAAAATAGCTTCGATTGGAGTATGGTACTTCCCAGAGCCGTAATTCTAATGGGTGTGTCAAGAGAAGTTCTTGACATTGTGGTGGGACTCAGACTAGACTTTTGTATAGTCTTTTGTCCTAGTTCCTATAGGAAATTCAATTTTATTTATTTTATTTCTAAGCAGTCTGGATAATTTGCAAAATAATGCACACGTAGAAGAAAAGTTAAGAATAGGAACATGTGGGTGGATGTACCATTACACGTCTGTCGCTGGGTTAAAAATTCAAAAAATCACAAAAAAGATCCTTTCAAAGTCCTGATTTGTTGCGAACAGGACTTTGATATCTAAAGTGTTCTAATAATTCTAATCAATATATCAGTCTATTCCTTATCCTATGGATTTACATTTGATAATTACTTCACAAACAATGGCTCTTATCTGTGGATTGCATAAGTAGGTGGTCGGTAAACTCAAAAGATTCAAAAACAAAAAATTAACAGCAAACGATAAAGTGATGTTGCAAACATTGCGATTGATGAAACGTTTAGAACAGTGCTAATGTTCATTAGGCTGAAGATAAGAAAAAGGGCAGTATTCACAGCTTGAGACAACACACGGCTTTCAAAACACATAGATCGTATCGACCACCGATTAACCTCGACCACCGTGTAAATTCGAGAATGGAATGGGCACCTGTCGAATCTTCCATGAGCCACCTTTTTCATATGTACCCCATTGTTCGATACACTACGCCGCTAGTTCAAATATACAACAAGGCAAACGGCAACAAATGGCAATTGAGGTGAAGCGGAGAAACTGCAACGCGTTAGAGGAATTGTTCATAAATACCTTTGTGGTTTGTATACCAGGAGTTATAGATGCGTTCTGGTTACAACCTTCAATCAGAATGAAAACTACCTTTCCTTCAGCTGTGATTTGCACGGACCGACTAAGATCTTCGATTTGGAACTGAAATTGATCGTCCAGTAACGTTCTGCACGGACCGATTATAAAATCCTCTAGGTCGATCTAGAGCCGCACGGAAACCCAAACGCCCTAACGGTTGTTAATCAATTTCATGTCTTTTCAGAACCTGCACGCTTATTAAATTCCACGTTGACTTTATTTCATTATGAGTCCTCGCTCAGACTCCCGGGCGCGACTGACGATTAGAGGCAATTTAAAAACCAAGACGGATTGATAGTGACTAGTATTTAGTTTAAGAAAAACCAATATTTGTTTGGGAAGACACTTCAGAACGACACGACAGCATGGGATGAAATGACCAGACCATCATGATCTAATGGATAATGGGAAATCTGTTAGTAATGTCTCTTCTGCTGGTGAAAAATTGAACCCTAGTAAACTGCTATAGAAACCCTTGACAGTGACAATTCAATGAACGATAAATTTATAGAACTATGCGAACATAATGCGCAGAAATGAAGCTGATGGTCATTTTTATAGTTTTATGGGTCATCACTCCTTCATTACACCTGAATACAACTGACATCGTAAACGAATGGAACCGTATAGTAAGTGACAGATGAAAAAAGAACTTCTTCAATTGCTCTTGTAGGTTTCTTCCGTGCCAAAAACTTTTAACTTTGCCAAATCTGTTGCGTATGAAGTAAAACTTCAAGTGCAACAACTAATCTCGAAGTCGGAAGCTGCGAATATGAATTCTAAATTTTTAATAAAGGGCATTGTGTTATTATTGACTCATTATGTAATGCAATGAAAATCTGAGAATGCGTTTTACCTTTGACCATGCCCCAGCAAAAAGAAATAGGTGATGAGAGAGCAAGCCATTAACTTCTGAAAATCCAGCATCAATCATTGACTTCTACTAGCGTAGCACCTGCGTTTCACCAGAAGGCTTCTATTTGAAATGTGTTTGTTACTGATAAAGTAAATGTAATTAAAAATATTAATTAAACATGATTTTGTCACTGTATAACGTAGTACCATACATGGTACATAACGTTTATATAACTATGTCTTATAACAGTTAGATACTACGTTATGATGTTATGTTTCTCTCTCAATAATATAATGTTATACCAGTTGAGCCCGTCCTGCTTCGCAGGAAGTGTACCACACATTTTTCACTGTGTATGTCTTTGATTGACGCAATGTATGATTTTATACAGCCACATAAACGACTCCGGTAATTAATTAATTAATTAATAAACCGCAGCCTAGTTGCCTATCCCAAATTCAGACTAATAATTGATATAATTGTTACTAAAAAGGCGTTGTTACAGAAATCGTTTTCAAAGTGAAAATATTCCTTAAAGGAATATATTGCCTTTATACAACGAATCTCAATACTTACTCCATTCGCAGCTTTCTTTAGCAGTTCAATGTATCATTTAAATTCTATTCTATGATCAGAGACAATTTAGGTACTTGCACATTGTTAAATGTTCGTTATCCTTATATCACTTTTACTTCGTGTTAGATAAAATAAGTTCATCTGCACTGGATTTTACTATTTAAAAGAGTTATAATCAAGCATGGTCATCGTACCTACTACTTACATTTGAAAATATACGAATAAGTTGAAAGAATCGGAAGTAATATCGAATCTCGCGACGTTGAATAATGCATAGTGCCGTATCGCTATGCGGCCCTTTGGGGTGGAAGGCTCCATGCATATTGCATGCCATCTTTCAGCTACGGTTCGCTCTTTGACTTAACTCGCTTAATTGGTTAGATCGGTTTTACACAGATTATTTCTCATGATTTTTAAATATCTTTTTTTTGCCTACGTGCGCCTACCTCGCTTGCACCTACAATCTCAAAATGGGTGGGCGGATGAACGCTCGGAAAAGGACGTATTAGTTTCATTCATCGACTACCGCATTTTCACCATTCACTCTCATAGAGATCTGTGTTACTGCAAATTCGAGTAAGTGAATCTGACAAATCCGAGCTTACAGGATGTACACCCTCATCCTAACGAGATATAGCTTTATCCTCTCTAATACGGTTTTGAGCTCATTTTAGTTAATGTGATGTTTGTGATCTTTTTAAAGAGCTGAGAATTTAGAAGAATATCGCACGTGCTCCCAAATTTGTGCAGATTTGATATTTACTATTATCATATAGAAAATTTTGTCCAGTTTTGCTTTCAAAATGTACAGAATAGCTGTAACCCACCCCAGGCTCTCGTTAAGTTGACCGCGAAAGGTGGCTATTAATTGTTCTGAGTTCAGTGTACCAAAATTCGCGATCACTATATACCCCTGCCGTTTTAAGGAAATTCGGTTTCGAAAAATCATGGTCAACTTTACGGCGGCACAAGCAAATTTTGAATAAGTTCTTTCTTTCAAATTCATTTTACCTCAATGTACCAAAACCCTCTTCCATTACATCATTGACTCTTGAAAAAAATCTGTGGCCCATCAACTGGACAACATTAAAAATTTGTGTTTCCCCTAAATTTACAGATTACTCCAATTCGTCCGTTTCTTTAAAATTTTTAGTTCTTTTGGATTCTCCAGATTCTTGAAACCTTTGAAATTTGTGAGATATTTCAGTTTTTTTGAATTTTTTATTGGGATCTTCAATTTGAGATTTGAACGATTCTAGGGACTATTCATAAGATAATTCAAATTTTTTTGTATTCCCTAGGCTCTTTCTATTCCCCGGATTCCCTCGTTCCTTTGGATTTCTCAAATCCTTTCCGTTCTTAAAATGTTCCATTTTAGGATTTTTCTAATTCTAATTCAAATCCTTCATCTCTTTCTATTCTTCAGGTCGTTCATATCTTTTTAGCGCATTTCCACAAAAATTTAAAAAAATGCGGTATTGTGGCCACTTTGTCCGTCCGTCCGTCCGTCCATCCGCCCGTTCGTTGAGACGCTACTAATTCTTTATCTTAAGAGCTATTATTCTACTTTTTCGCTATTTGGTTCGTTATGGTGTCGAGGCTTGCACCAAGGAAGGAATTTTTTCTGCGTTTATTGCTAAAAAAGTTATTGTAAAAAACCAACAAACCGTTTTTTATATGTTCCATAATGTTACACTTTTGCCGTTTATTAACGATCCTAAAGATCGTTTATAATTTTGTATTGCTGTCTGTCGGCTGTCTGTTGGTCTGTCCGTCTGTTCCTTTGTCTGTCTGTCCCTCTATCTGTCCGTGTGAACGTTAACTTTGGTTAGAAATGTCCGATCGCTTTGACATCTCGTTAGTTATGAACTGAATTGCATGAAATTCAATATGGTCATAGCTTTAGCCATATAATACGCAATGCCATAAGTTGATTTGAATAGATTCACAGTGCCCTTTTCGCATCTCGACCATTTATAAACCGAATTGCAAACTTTTTTATTTATAAAAGTATTTGAATGAAACTTGATACATAGGCACTTGGAATAAAGAAAAATCAAACGCCAGTTTCAAAATTTAGATTTGCGCATGCGCAGTTCCAAATTTCTTATTTAGAAAAGCATTGAAATGAAATTCTTCTTATAAACTGAAATTGAAGTAGCACGTCAAACATCGATTGCACAACGCTATCTTTCATTATTGTGGCCGGATTTTTACGATTTTAGTAGAAGTTGCATCTTACAAATGGGAAATGAATGCAAGTGGAAATGCACTTTTTGTAAATCATTTACGATTACCTTATAACTTGTTTAACTTATTTCTTCGGATGTTTAGGATTAGGTCCATTCTTTAGTCCTTTCCAATTTTTCAGTTATTTCAAGTTCTGAAGGACTAGATCCAAATTAGCAAGGTGTTAGTCGGAGTCTTGCTATAAAATTATTAAGTTGTCCAAGTAGGCGGGGAAGGATACTTCTGAGCTGCCGGCCATAGTGAAAGCCAGCAAGGACGTTTTTGAGGTCAAAAGGCATCTTCTTAAACTGGTATAGATCGAGTGGTACGTGTAATAAAGGCAGAGAATAATTGTCCGCGATTGTAATGGCGTTGAGCTTTCAGTACTCAATACATTTTTTTATTTGTTTATCCAAGATCTCTCATGTCAACTAGTTTCTGAGATGACCGACGGCCATCCTTATTTGGTCACCTGGTATATTAGGCATAATGGATGTGAGACTGTCAAACTTTTTTTTGCCCCTTACATCATACATCTGTCTACACAATAAGATTAAATATTCAAAATACAATTTAGTATTGTTTACGTATCCATGATGGTATTTAAATTTAAATGACTTCTGATTTTTTTTAAAACTCTATAGTGGCACGCTTATAAATTTTTCAGTTGATTAATATGACGCTTCTGCCTCGAGTATTTTAGGACAGTTCAACATTGAATGATGAAGAATCATAATTACCAAATAAAAAACAAATGTTCAAACGCGATTTCTACTGCGCATTACGTCACGTGCAAAGCTTCGTCGCCAAAATGTAAATGTTTGTACGCACGTTCAAGCAAATATATTATCTACGTGTGACAGTTTGCAACTGATAAGGAATATTCACCGAATGAGGATTATCATCATCCATTAAATGTACACGTGTAGCTTACAACTACGTTTAAACACCCCAATTTCAACAAGTTAAAAAGTAATCTTAAAACGATTTCCCAAAAGCGCATTTCCACTTGCATTCATTTCCCATTTGTAAGATGCAACTTCTGTTAAAATCGTAAAAATCCGGCCACAAATATGAAAGATAGCGTTGCATAGGTGCAATCCATTTTTGACGTGCTACTTCAATTTCAGTTTATAAGAAGAATTTCATTTCAACGCTTTTTTAAATAAGAAAGTTGGAACTGCGCATGCGCAAGACCAAATTTTGAAACTGGCGTTAGATTTTCATTTATTCCAAGTGCCTATGTCTCAAATTTCGTTTGGGCCGAGATGCGAAAAGGGCACTGTGACTTTTGAATCGATTCGACTCAACTTTTGGCATTGCGTATTATATGGCTAAAGCTATGCCCATATTGAATTTCATGCAATTCAGTTCATAACTAACGGAGATGTAAAAGCGATCGGACATTTCTAACCAAAGTTATCGTTCACACGGACAGATAGAGGGACAGACAGACAAAGGAACGGACGGACAGACCAACAGACAAACGACAGACAGCAATACAAAATTATAAACGATCTCTAGGATCGTTAACAAACGGCAAAAGTGTAAAATTATGGAACATGTAAAAAACGTTTTGTTGGTTTTTTTTACAATAACTTTTTTTAGCAATAAACGCAGAAAAATTCCTTCCTTGGTGCAAGCCTCGACACCATAACGAACCAAATAGCGGAAAAAGTAGAACAATAGCTCTTAAGATAAAGAACTAGTAGCGTCTCAACGAACGAACGGACGGACGGACGGACGGATAAAGTGGCCACAATAGCGCATTTTTTTAATTTTTATGGAAATCGGAATCGAATCTCTGTAACATCTCTAGCCCACACTAGTACTGTCGTTACCAAATGCATCGCAGTAGCGGCATAGAAATTGCACTTCAGGTGTATGTTTGAGACCTACGGCATCAAAAGTTATTACTATATTACCAAGTCATAATATGCTTAAAAATGAATCTGAAAGTGAAATACGCCGACCGACGGTGAAAAATTAACCCGCCATTCTAACAATTTCATTTTAATTTAGATAATATGTCAAAGAAATCGGTACTACACACCAATTTTTAGTGATATTTTTGCCAGCCTAGTCCCGGAATTGATTAGTTTCTGGACGCATTTGGCTACGGAAAGTAAAGCTTTGAAGCACGAAGGTCGGAGACACAAGAAATGATTTATTCCATCATTTATTTCACAAACAACTTTATCAGTCATAGCTACCACTGTTTGAGTTAACGGTTCCCCGTGTTAAATGTTCACTCTTTTAAAAGCGGAAGCAAACTATAAGTATATATTGCTGTATGGTTAAGTGATCATTCTGTTGAAAACACGAAAAAGGAAAGCTATACTTACTTGCACCTGCATTATAATTTATATTGCAAGGTTCACTTCAATAAAGTTACTGAAATTTGCAAGTTTTGTTTATGGTGATGTTAGTTTAACTTACACTGATTAGGTAAACGGTGTAAATATACGTTGGCGCCGTAATAATTTACTCTCAATTTGAAGTCAAAGGATTCTGGATTGCCAAGTTATCCAAACGATATACAGCTGCATTTGTCTTACTTTTAGTAAGTAGGGAATTGTTAAGTTACAATGTGTTGGTACTGCAGACCATACGGCGGGCGTATGTTTTCACAAAAGCTGTAGGCCTTGCAAAATTTAGTAACCAAATATGAAATATTTATACCTTCTACACTATTTATTGGTGAACAATCTTTTTTGTGTACACCTGATAGTGTAACACCATCACCAACATTCGTTGAAAACTAGGTAATACGTCTGTTGTATCCCGCCGAAGATCAAATTCACCGTTTCGATTCTGGTCGGGAAAATATTGCGTTGCCAATACTTGCACACGTTGAATAAGTGTTAGTAAACACGAGGAAACCTGATAGTAATATAACAACCAACGAATTATTGAAAAACCTTACAACTTTATTTCGAATGACTTTTTATTATTTTTCTTACATTTTCTTCATTGACATTCGCCTACTCATATATATCAAAATTATTAGCTGTGTTGCGACACGTCTGATTTATTTGAAATTACAACATAGTAGGTACAGTCACCATAATACGGTAATAACAATAGCTGTTACCCATTGGTGATTGCTACACCCCCTCTAATATTAGAAATGGTACCTCAATAACCAATAGTATAACTGTTTAACGCAATATTATCCTCACCATAAACTAATAACGCTGACAGGGTAATTTATACAATTTAGAACGTCGCTAAGTATGTACATTTGTGCTGTTTATTCAGGCCATGTTTGCACAAATTGGAAAAACCAGCGACAAAATTGTTAAATTAACTGATAACATCCTAAAGTCGTTTGATGGTGGCGAACATTTGATTGGGGTCTTCTTTGATATCAAGAGCGCATATGACATGACATGGCGGTATGGTATACTTAAAAAAATGCTTGAATACAATTTACGCGGAAACATGCCCAAATTTATTAGATCTTTTTTAAGAGACAGAAAGTTTATTGTTAGAATTGGAGAGGCGTATTCAAACGAGCGCGTATTAGAAAACGGGGTCCCGCAGGGCTCGACTTTAAGCTGTTCACTGTTTGCAATTGCCATAAACGGAATAGCCCTGGGTGTTGCCGACACAGTCGATAAATCCCTATACGTCGATGACTTAATGATTCATTGTGCCGGAAAAACCGTTGGTTCCGCTGTGCGTATACTACAAATGGCTATCAATAAAATTTCTGATAATGCGGATGCAGTGGGGTACGTTTTGTCTGAGGAAAAAACGAAGGTGGTTCATTTTTGTCGACTCCGAAGACCACACTATGACCCCGTTCTATTTATGAAAGACCGTATAATAGCTGTGTCCCAAGATATGAAATTTTTGGGACTTACCTTTGACAGGGAACTGCGGTGGTCCAAGCATCTACAGAATGTTGTCACAAAGTGTAGGAAATCATTAAATGTCATTAGGGTCCTGGCCCACCATAAGTGGGGAGCTCACCCAAAGACGTTACTCGACGTCTACAAGGCCTTAATTTTATCGAGAATTGATTATGGGTGCTGTGCTTATCTGACATGTGACAACAGTGCGATGCTTGGGAATCTCGATAAAATCCAAAACCTCGCCATACGGTATTCCCTCGGAGCTTTTCCAACGAGTCCGGTCGCTGCGCTTCACGTCGAGGCGAACATCCTTCCTCTAGCCCTCCGTCGTAAACAGGCTGCTGTAAACTATTATCTTAAAGTAATTTCGGATGAACGACATCCGAATCACGTATCGATGGCAGGCGCAGTTCCACGTCGACGACTGAATAGGTGCAGAACGCTGAGCCAAAGGGCTAGAGAGGATCTAACGTATCTACAACTAAATGACCTTGATGTTGCAAATGAGACAACAGTAACCCGACGTACACTCGTCAGGGCTCGGGTGTATGAGCGTTGGAGCGACCTATGGGCGAGGTCCGATTCATTTTTGAAAAGGGTCAAACCCGATTTGGGGCCGCTATTTCTTCTTGGCGAGGGTCGGTTTGTATTCGTGAAGATGTTTCGAAGTAGACTTGGGCACACCGCATTAACCCATAGCGCCTTGCGGGAAGGTAAACCTAGACCCCTATGTGCGAATTGTGAGGTTAATTTAACACTAGAGCACATACTTTGTAACTGTCCACGATACAAAGATATACGGGACAACTTCGGGATATGTCCGATATGGGAAGGTAACTTTAACAGCGATGAACGGTGTCGAAGGGTGATAGGATTTTTCCAAAGTGTGGAAATGTTGCACAAACTGTGATATAATGGCTGTCTATTTAATTGTTATTTATTGTTGTCTGTCAGTTACCAACTTTGTCATATCGAAAATATTGTATTGTATGTGAGTCGACCTACCTGTATGTAATATTCTATTAGAACGAAGTCTGTGATATTTTGAGAAATAGGCAAATGGCCATAGAAGCCGAAGCCTTAGGTGGGGTTTTAGTGGGTATACCCGAGTAAGGGAGAGCCCCACACTACTCCAGACCTTTCAACCTGGAGTGTGCATAAGGAGCATTTCCCCACCTACCAAAAAAAAAAAAAAAAACACCCGCAAATTTTGCAAAATGCGTTGGAAATTCTTCTTCTTCTTCTAGTCCTTCGTGCCCTTTCGACTTTTCGAGCGTCGGATCGTTGGCAATCCAATAAACATAAATTTTCAGAAAAGGTGATTTACAAGTTTCTGGATTGCAAAAGTGCCCCCAGAACCGTGAAACTGAACTAATATTTAGTAAGGGATCTGATTCAATCACATTTTCTAAGTAAGGAAAAAACCCTAATCCCTTAAAAGAGCACATTTGTTTCAAATAAGTCACGGATATCCCAACTATATCGCAAACTGTTGACGGCCTTGATAAAAATTGAGATAGTGTGCTGCTAATAAAAGCACAGTGTTCTCGCCATTCCACGCATTAGTTAACATGTTGGCGGTCAAAGTAATCGTTTGTCTTTGCACATACGCGGTGGCGGTAGTAGCACAAGGTGTTTACTTGCAACCCTCTGGTATTTGGTCCCATTTTACCAAGTGACAAAGTACTATACAACTGAAACATTTTAGGGTATTATTGGAGAGAATTTTCAAATGGACACATCCCATCCGACGCAGTTGTCGGAGGTAGAGATAGAGCTGGTAACCCGACTTATATCGGACAACTTTACGGACTAGATTTTGAGCTATTGCCCGCCACTATAATACGCGGTTCGCCAAATGCCACCAGTACCAGGCACGTTTCTGCCATACAAACTGATAAAAATATTAAGGTAAGGAAGACATTAACAACAACACCTATCTGTCTGATGGGACAATTTCGCCTACTCGTAGATACTATGCAGTTATGAACCACATAAGTTTAGATGGATTCCAACAATAGCAGGAGAGGCGTACAAATTGGCTAACTGTCACTTAGTCAATGGCGGTTCAGAAGTTAACGTATCTCTGCACATTGGACGTGTAAATTATCAATCTGAAGTGATTATAGGAAAGGTTTTTAGTGAACTATCCATACCTTATAATGGTGTTCCGATAAATTTTAAAGCTTTCCAAATTTTAGCGTGGGACTGCCAAGATTTGTGAAATGAATACTTACATAAGATATGCTTTTGGCATAAAAACTATGTCAACTAGAATTTATTTAAACAGCACTTAACAAAGTTATTACGAATAGTTTTATGAAATGTCTAAATAAATATCCATTTGAAGGTACATTTTCTTTGATTGGAAAGATAATAAACCAATACAACGAAATATCGAAGGATCCTCAGTATTACAATCACTTTTAACGACAATTTATTAATTTTACAAAATACATTTTATAGTTAACAACTTCATGTCTTGGGCATTGAAAGATTGCTCTTAATCTTGTTCCGAACGATCTCAGTGCAAGAATATCGATTTTGACATGTTTTGATCGAAATCCATGTCGGCGCCAAAAATAGATCAAATTCCCAACGATCTTGGTGCATAAATAATGATTTGGCATGTTTTCATCAAAATCCATGTGGTCGCCAGAAATGCATCAAATTTATGTCTTTAGCATTGAGATTATGCTCTTAGTTCTTTCTCAGCGATTTTGGTGCATAAATAACGATTTTGACATGTTTGATCAACATTTACGTGATCGCCAAAACTGCATCAAATTCATGTCTTGGTCATTGAGATAATGCCCCTAGTTTTTTTCCCAACGATTTTGGTGAATAAATAACGATTTTGACATATTTTGATCAACATCCATGTAGCCTCAGGAAAATAATTTAACATCTTTGAATCACAGACATGCGAATATCAAATGTGCACGTGATGTACTCTTTCAGCATCACGATAATGCGTTTGAAAGGTTTTACAACTCCAAATTCATGTGTAAAGAATAATTGTTACACATCTAAAAGTCATAGGGAATAAACTAAACAAATATAGAAAACGAGCTCCTGGGTATGGCTATAGCATGTGCAAAACAAAATTTTAAACCTGATGTTAGTTTTGGAAGTGTATAATGTAGGAAATTTCATATAATTGCTTCCATAAATAAGAAAGTTGGCACTGCGCATCCTACACAAAACCAAATTTGGAAAATGGCGCTACATTGGCTTTTATTCCAAGTGTATCAAATTTCATTTGGATGCCTCCATAAATAAGACAGTTGGCACTGCGCATGCGCAAAACCAAATTGTGAAACTGGCGTTAAATTTGTTTTTATTCCAAGTGGATATGCATCAAATGTCATCTAAAGCTATAATACGCATATTGAATTTCATACAATTCGGTTCATAACTCATGGAGATGTCAAAAGGGCCTCCTTTATTTTTTGGACTACATCGCCAATTCACAAACTCCGATCTACAGATTTGATAAAGAATCCATCTACTGAATTTTATCGTAATCGGTCCATTCGTTATCGAGATATCGTACAGAGCAACAGACGGACAGACACCGCAAAATTATAAACTCGCTAGGAGCTCGTTAATAATCTAGCGAAAGTCCGAACTCGATACATGCCCTAGGAAATGAAATATGTTGATCTCTATTACATTGAGCCCGCAGTTTTTCCTGTTCCCGATTCACTCGAAGTCCTATAATTTTTGTTCCTGTTGAACCAGCTTCCTGAAAATCAATAGCGCCCGTCCTTAATGTCCAAAGTACGCGTACACCAAATTTCAACACAATCGGTCACTTTTAAAAAGAGCGCACACGGACGGACGGACGGACGACAATACAAAACAATAAAGGATCCGAGGATCCTTAATAATGTACAGGTATAGACATGTAAAGGACATGTACCTTGTTATGAATCATATAAAGATGGCAATATCGTTGGAAGTTCTTACTACTGACAGTTAAAATTAACTGTTTCATTTAAAGCCAATTTTTTTTGTCTCAGCTACTATACATTTATCTTTGTTTGAAAAAGACTAATGTTGGGTCACACCATTACCTTGTGGAGCTTATGGTGAGTATGCCCCATCGTAATATTGCAACGAAGCACTCGTATTTCCGCCCTGAAGTTCATACCTGAAGTTACGACCACACTGTATAATTATGGAGTCGACCAACTTTGCTGAACACCCGGTATTTAGAAACGTTTTAAGTTGGGAGCTTTGTTACTAAGTAGTTTCTGAAGCAGGGGGCACGCGCCCTCTCCTAGACCGTGGTAGTTACGCAGGCGGTCATCATGGAGATTTCGGAAACCATAGAAGATATGAAAATAGTCAAATTAGAGACAAGAAATTTGTTGATTTCGTTTTTATTTTTTTCTGATGTTTTGAGCAGATACAAAAAAACATTCTCTCATTGTCAGTTTTACAAGAGACGAGACATTTGATTTCAGAGAAATCATTATCAACTTTATTTTTAGCGTATTTTCCTCCGTACGTCCGTCCGTCCGTCTATCCGTCACACGTACTCCTTCTAAACAAAACTTTTTAACTTGTCTTAGTTTATGAAGAATTAGTTATTTGCTCAATATATTATGTATTATGCTCAAACATGTTCTATTTTTATGCGTATAAATGTTTTTTTTTTAAATATTCATTTTAAAAATTGTATGCGCTCCTCCCTAGACCAAATCCTAAATACGCCACTGTCATTATTTATCTTACCGCCGATAGCGCAACTAAATTTCGTAGTAAATCGATCCTTTTTTTAACCGTTCCTGTAGGAATATTTAAATTGTTTTTACAGCCGCCCAGTAGGTCAGACGATTGCAAACATTTTAGTTTACTAATTGTATACGAAAATACGGGATTGTAACCGGCGAGATGCAGTTTAACGTGATAACCCATTGCGTCGCTTGACTTCACATTCCAAGGAACATAAAGGTGTATTTCTGGACTGCCGAATTTGGAGATTTCATTCCAACTATTGAGATAAGTACCTATAATTAACCGTAATTATTTGACTGGGTTAAAGGTAACAACCGCCGATTAAGTTGAGATTACATCCATTAGGGGCGCTCTTAAAAAACTTGAAATTTGACATCGGTCCCATATTTTTCCGATGCCGGGGAAAGGCGTAACTAATTGAAAACAGTTTTAATTCAAGAATTCAAATTTGTCAATACTCAAATGGACGTTTACATAAATAGAAATCTTTTCCCTTTGCTTTTTGAAGCTTCATTTTGTAAGTACCGAAATTTTGAGCTTTGCCGTAAATTTACTTTTGCAACCGACCGTATTTAAATCATCGTTCTTTGGACTTCAGTGGTTAATCGACCCGTAATAGTATATTGAAAGACAAGTGTTACAATGCGACCTATTGTAATACGACGTCGCCACTCGTGCCACAAGATAGAAGTATTACAATAAAGCATTGTAACACGCGTTTTTCATACTATTTTTTCTATTTCGGTGCTTTAATTTAATTGAAAAAATCATTATCAGAAACTATAGGGAACGTTAGAACTAACATGTTTTATGTTGGGAACACTTTTTATGCCGTTAAGTTTTAGATTGGCAGCGTAGTAAGACTGACATTTTGAAGTTCAAACATGGAAGTACCCAACGAAGTACCTACTTGTACTAACTAGTAACTGCCAACTTAAGAAATGAGTTACCAAAAAAAAACGACTATAATCACTGTCTTTGTACAACTGTTTTCAGCCGAAAACAGTTGTACAAAATCATCATTGTGACACCGAAATAGAAAAAATCTGTTTATTTTTGCATCTTTTGCTTTTTGTTTTTTATCCATATTAAATTTGAAAATTTTCCTTAAATTTTATATTCAGACCGTTTAATTTTGTTTTTGAATTAAGTGATAGCTTTTGTTGCTTCTGTTGCTTCATTCCCACTAGGGAGTAATTTTGTTTCAGTTTGCCGAAGTGACCGCCACCATTTTCTGATACCGTCCGATTCCTGCTTCTGTCGTTTCTCCGATTGAGTTTACACTCGAGGCTTTCGAGACCGCTGTTACCGCCGACCTCGATCAGGTGCGAGACCGTACGCTTGGTGGCGCCTAAGTGCATCCGTCCGTCCTCCCGTGTGTTCGTTCCGCCGACAAAACACCTCGGTTGCCGCCGACTGCTATATTAATTAATAACATTTGGTTATTTATTTACTTTTTTTAATATTCCGCTAATGATTCTTTACTTTTAAAAACTCACCAACTGTGCGCATAACGTATGAAGGGTTGTTTCTGTGTTTTGAAAGTGTATATGGCAAAAGGAGTACGGAAAACCACCAAAAAGGTGGAATTAAAACCAAAGACCAAGTGAAGGACGATGTTTCACCGACATAAAACAACTCCTAGCTAGACGATTGATCTTTAGTCAACAAGCTGTTTCCAATTGTCCACGAAATGTTGGAAATATTCAGAGGTAAACGGAACCATTAATCAATAACGATGAGGTTGAAAGCTCATTTGAAAACAAACTTAGGACAGGCGGTATATGCCTTTTGTACGTTATCCTCGATCTAAATTTACACAAGGGACCGTTAAACTTTCACTATGTGCCCTTTAAATAATGACCTTGGAGAATTACTCGGCGATAATACAGCCCTTGCATTTATGCCACCAAAAACGTCATGGATCGCTTATGCTCATCATTTATGACCAAAGCAATGGATATAGGGATATTATAAATCATCACCATGTATAATTCCTGACCAGGAAGTCCAAAGTTTGCTCGTCGTTCAAAGTTCAAAGGTTGGTCGCCATTCAAACTTTTCCTAATTTGGCGCGCTCCAGCGTACGAAATAGTGCAAAAATCGTTCAAGGATGTCAGATGTGGCAGAAGAAGGTCTTACCGGCGAAGGTCTATAAATTGCTCGAATGAAAAAGATCTCTTAAATTTTTTATAAGTAATAGCACAGACAACATATACTACAGACGGTCAATCTTAAGGGGAAAAAGCACGCTAAGTTTTGTTTCATATGTCCCCTTATTTAAAAACCTGCTATCCCTCTATTTTGCTCCATCTATTAGCGCATACAACAATGTGTTGGTTCTTCTACAGATTTCTTTTATTGGAATGGTTTTGCAAATTGTCTAGGGAAAGAAGTATTGATACTTTATTTTTAGAAAGCTGTCCCACAAGAAATCCCCATATTTACGAAGTGCTGATAATCTTTGCAGGTACACATACAAAGCAAATATCACTTCATATTCGCAATTACGTATTACTCGTTGTGTTTGTTTATATACCTATGTACCCTACTTGCCTACTTGTCTCTCAGTTTGTGGAATAAATCTTGCAATCAGCAATTTAACTT